ATGGATGGCACGAGACAAATGGCTTGGTCACTGTCTTCAGTCCATCCCCTCCAGGGTCCCTAGTGTTGGCCGCTGGGCTAGATGGACCTTTGGTCTGACCCAGTACGGCCATTCTAAGCTCAGGGCTCAGGGTCGGGGGTCTCACTGGACCACCCTGATTTTCATGCAAACCTGCTCCTGGGTGCCCAGGCTGGCAGCTATCCTGCCCTAGACGGCCACTTTCCTGTGCCTAGTGCAGAGGTCGTGGATGAGGTCCACGATGTCTGCATTAGACCAGGTGGGCGTCCTCCTCTTGCGGACCTGGGCAGGCTCCCGGGAGCCGCTAGCCTGGTCCTGGGAAGAGGCGGAAGGCTGGGTGGCAGCGGGTGGCTGGTTCATGCCGTGCCAGTTGCAGGGTCTGGTGACTGGGTGCTGGTAGGCTTGCACCTGGCACGGGCACCGTAGCCAGACCGTGCCCCTTTAAGGGCTCTGGAGCTGGGAGGGGGGCAGAAGAGTTTCCCTGGTGGTGCCCAGAGTGGCCACCAGGAAAAGCTGGGGAGGGCTAGCCTCCCACTAGTTCGAATTAAGGGGCTACACAGCCCTTAATTCGAACTACTTAATTCGAACTAGGCATTAGTCCTTGTAGAATGAGGTTTACCGAGTTCAAATTAAGTGCTCCGCTAGTTCGAATTAAGTTCGAACTAGCGGTTTGCCTGTGTAGCACCTATCAAAGTTAATTCGAACTAACGTCTGTTAGTTCGAATTAACTTTGTAGTGTAGACATACCCCCTGAGAATTAGGAATTTTTTCTAGTGTTTCTAGAGGGGTTCCCCTAAGGCTTGGTTCTCAGCCCAGTGCTAACTCATTATTTTTTGTCAGTGGTCTGGAACAAAATATCAAATGATTGCTGATAAAGTGTATAGCTGACACAGCCTGGTAAAGAGGGGTGACCTGGATTGCTTAATAAAGGGGTGTAATCAAATGTGCACTATTATAGTGAGGTGCAAGATCATGCCTCTGGGAGCAAAATATGTAGGCCATGCTTGCAGGGTGAGGGACAGCATTCTGGAAAGCAATGACTTTGAAAAAGTATGGCTGGCACGGGATTGAGGGGGGAATGTGTATGATCAACTGAGCATAAGGAGTGAATACCGAATAAGGAGTTGGAAGGTGGTGTTGTCACTGTGTGGGGCTCTGGTGAGACCACCCTTGTTATGTGGTATTCAGTTCCAACATCACCATTTTAAATAGCATATTGGAACACTGGAGAGAGTTTAGAGACATGCTAAAAGAATGGCTTGTGGTCTATAAAATGTTCCTTATGATGAGAGAGACTTAAGACAAATAGACTGAGAGTATCAAAGAGAAGGTTACCAGGTGACTTGATCTGCACAGGGAAAAGAGGTCTGGTTCTACAGGGCTCTTTAATCTAGTAGACAAATGCATAACAGCTGGAAAGTGAAGTCAGCAAAGTTCAAGCTGGAAATAAGATGCACATTTTTAGCAGTGAAGGTAATTAACCGTTGGAACAGATTACCCAGGAATGTAGTAAAATTCTCCATCGTTTGGCAACTTTAAGTCAAGACTGGATAGCTGTCTAAAAGGCACATTCTAATTCAACCACAAGTTACTGGGCTCAGGGAAGGAACCCCTGGGTCAAAATCTATATGGCCCATGCACATGCTTGGTCCTGTGAGGGATGGTGGTCTTGCAGTGGCTGGAGCACTCACACACCATCCCCCAGTATGGTTACAAGTCTGTGGGCTGGCAGGAACATGTAGTGCAGATCTGGGGAACCTTTTTTTAGGTCAGGGGCCGCTGACCCACAGCAAAATCAGTTGGGGCCGCACACAAGTGAGAAGCAAAAAAACAAACAGACCCTCATTAACATGGTCCCTGACTGAGAAGAAAGACGCTCCCCACATTCCCCTCACACACCAGAGCCTGGGGGCCTGGGCTAGTAGATTTTGTGTGCTCCAGCCCTGCAGGAGGAAATGGGGGGGGGCAGAGCTCCAGTGCGGGCTCCCCAGTGCTGGGGTGGGAGCCCCAAGCCTCAGGGGCTGGATCCAGGAAAGCCAGGGGCACATCCCGCACTTGGGCCTTAGGTTCTCCACCCCTGATTTAGTGGCTCAGGTCTGTGGACTGCTCTTACGGAAGCCCAGGCCGTCCTTTCTCTGCCACACTGGGGCTGGCAGTCCAGGTGTTCAGCAAAGGCCAGGGCATCGCCAAGACTCTCTTTCCGTCATTTCCTAGCCTACCCTCTGTCTCCCTAGCAGCCTAGTGATTGTCTGGTGATTGCCTTGCAATGCCCACTCCACTGAGAGGGGTCTGGAGGTGCATCCCCCTCATGCACAGGCAAGGGCTCTACTGTGTCTCCCCTGGCAGTCTGCAGCTCCAAATGGAGGTCTGCTCCAGATGGCACCGAACTCCTTCTGTGTCCCCTACAGGAGCGACCCGAGCAGCTCTGCTCCCTTGCACTGAGCTCCCTGACTGAGCTGTGCTGTGCCAGTGACAGGTCAGTCGTAGAGATCCCCACATGCCTGTCCCTTGGTGAGCTGAAATGCCACCGAGCCAGCTTTCCTGCCCTCTGGGACACCCTGCTTGCTGAGTCAGGCTCTCTGGCCTCTCCAGCACGGGCATCGAGATGAGGCCCCAGCCCACAGCTGCGTCATACAGACACTGAGATCCTCCCAGCTCAGGAAGTGGGGAGTATGGAGGAGCACAGCAGGAAGATCCTATAAAGAGCTGATAGGCAGGCACCAGAGGGGCCATGTAACTGGCCACAGCCAGTCCATGCCAGCAGTCTTGCACACCCACTCCCATCATCTGTCACTGGACCTGTCCCCAATTCACCACTGGTGGGTGGGCAGCTGGTGAGCAAGGATCTGGTCAGCAGTGGGACCCACCAGTACTGATGGGAGGGCAGAGAGAAAATACAGGGCAGTTGGCCCATTTTTTAAAATGTAGGGTCACCTTCAGGGGAACTTATATACAGGACTGGGGGGCTGGAGCGCGGGTTCCCCAATGCTGGGGGAAGCCCTGAGCTTTGGGGGACAGATCCAGACAAGCTGGGGGCTGCATCCAGGCCTCGAGCTTGAGGTCCCCCACCCTTAGAGATGCATCCTTTTAAAAGGTCATGCTTTTTTTTTAGTTCTGTCTCATGATTATTGAATATTTGGGCAGCCAATGGTAACACTGGAATAAATAACATTGTGCACTTGGAGAACAGTCTGCCTCAAAGCACTGGGAGAACATTTACTTGTTAATCCTCATAGCACATTAGGAAAATGTGGTCATTATTCTGGGAGATGCCACTGGGGAAGCTTGAAAGAAAGAGATTCTGACTTTTCAAAGACCCTCTTAGTGAGTCACTGGCTCAATGTTCCTAGCTCAATCCATTTAAACCTGTTCCCTTGCAAAATACATTGTGTATAGAGTCCTCTCCTACTTCTTTATTATCCGATGTGTTATCCTATATACCGGTCCCTGAACCAAAGAGTTTTCTATCTTTATTTTTAACAGAGTTCTGTGCTTGATTGCAGGATTGTTTTTCAATGACTAATGTCTCCTGGTACGGAGGAGCAAGCATCAAAGCCCAACGCTGGCCTTTGAACACTGTGAATACAAAGTCCCAGTCATTTGTTATCAGCAACCTTCCCCAAAATCCCTCTGGCTATGGACCTGTCTTAGAAAAATATTTTTTGGGATCAACAGGTAAGAAAATTTTCCTTGCTGTGATTTCTCATGGTTGTTGACACACACTAATAGGGCCTTGTCTACAGTGACATGTTTTGTCGCCAAAACCTGCCTTTTGGCAACCAGTGAGCGTGTTTATGCTGCATTTTGACTTTTCTCAGGAAAAACACTCAGTTTTGGTGACAAAAAAACTTCTACCCCTGCAAGAGACTTTTGTCTTTTCCTGGCCAGTGTGGAGTCTGCTGTTTGTTATATCAAGAGAACTGGCTTCTGCCAGTATCCCACAATTCCTTTCCTGATGAATGTGCTCAGTGTTTTGTGATCTCTGTTGGCTTGCAGGTATGAGCCCCTCCCTTTTCAAATCTCCTGGAAGTGTCTGACAGCTGAGTGAGCTGCTGTTTGGGGAACAAACAAAGAACAAATCATTGGAATGCACCTGTTCTGCTGCTGCAGAGGAAGGGCTGTACAGACAGCTGTGCTGCTTTCACATTCCCCAGCACAGAGAACTCACAAAGCTACGAGGGAATCCCAAGAAGCGCAGGGATCAGCTCTGCTTTCCCACAACTCTGCTTTGTGGGATGCTAACCCCCATAGTTTTGCTCTGTCTATAGAGTACTAGCAATGTGGCCTTAAAATGTAGACACTGAGAGGCAGAAAAACTAGTTTGACCAGTTTTCAGTTTTGGCAACATTTGCACTTTTGTTGCCAATCTCTCCCAGTGTAGCCATAGCCTAGCTAGCCCCACAGCTTTGGTGGTATACTTTTAGTGATGTTGACCTGGAGGAACAATTTGTATTCTCCTGTAGTGGAATTTGAACCAAAGAATTTGTGACTCAGAGGTTGAAGTGCTACCAATATGCAGTTCTCCATGGATCTGCCAGTGTCTATGAGCAAGTAACTAATGAGCCAGATTGAATGCCTTGTCTTTTCTCTGCCCTGCTACTTCACACCGTGTTAATTGGAAACATTAACTGCTGCAAGAGGTAACTGGATTTTGAAAAGGACTGACTAGACACATGTTAGGACACTGATAGATCTAATAGTTATGCAAATTAAAACAATGAAGGATAATCATATCTCGCATCTGCGGGTGTGAGGTGATCATCTGGAAGATCTCAATTCCAAAATACAACACTGCACAACTGGTTAGGAGTTTTACCCATCCTCTGAAGCGCCAAAAGTAAGATATCCGACTACACATGCCAGGGATCTGCCCTGGCAGAAAATCTTTTATTGATTCTTTGCGGTGCGGGCTGACCTGACAATGCCATTCACAGAGGGCAACCCAGAGAGACAGGTCTGGAAAAGCCCTTGGCAGCTAGCGCTATGTACCATTGCCAGACTCATGGCGTGTGTGTTTGGGTCTTTAGTGGCATAGGTTACTGAAGGTCATGGATAACTAGTTCAGTTGCAGAATCTATTGTGCAAATTCTTCTTTCATTCATGCAGAGGCCTGGCCGAACAGATGAAACGATGCCTCAGGAGGATGTGCATGGCAACTCAGGGGAGGCTTTTCCCATCAGTCTTAAGCATAATTCCTTAAACGTCTTTCCTCCAGCGCCACGTCTCCACAGCCTCACACCTTAGGTGTATGGTGACATCTGTGCAGAGCAGGTGTGCTGCCGTTCTGACCACAGGGTACATTGGAATATGAACGTGTACCCCCTGTACACGGTCAACCCTCACAGTTACATGCAGCTCCCCTCCTCCTCTGCTGCCTATGTCGCAGAGGCAGTGGGAGGGGAGGGAGGCAGGAGCCAGTGCACATGGAGAGCTGGCTTTTAAGCTGGCTCCCTGTGCATTCTGGCTCCCACAGAGCCACCTTGCACCCCTCCCCCCCTGCTGCTGCCTCCCACAGGCTCCCCGTGAGCCGGCTTCCTGTGAGCTTCAGTTCCCGCGGAACCACCCCTGCTGCTGCAAGTACCAGCTCCTGCCTGCTCTCTATCCCCCCACGTGTAAAATTTCAGCAGTTGCACATCCCTAATCTCCAGTGGCTGTTGAAGGTGGGATGGGACCAGGTGATCCCACCTGGGTAAGCAGAACATCTCCAGTATATACACATGTACGAGTTCTGATTAAGCCAGCACACTAAAACTAGCCGTGGGAGTGGGGTGGTTACCTGCTCCTCCTCCATGCCTGTCTCTGCCAATTGACAACCTACACACAGCTGGACGTGTCATTTGAGGAGTAGATCTGGAATGCCAGATGCAGCTGCAGCTACATGCAGCCTTCTAGCTGGCTTGCAATCCCTCCTGATCAGCCTGACTGTCTTTCTGCTCTTACTCCTCTGCCTTCCTGTTCCTTCCCTCATTCCTGCAGCTGCCAGCTGTAGCCCATGACATGTCCTTTCTGCCCCTGCAGCTGGGGTACCAGTCATCTAACCTCACCAGCTTGCACAAATTCCTCCGACAGTCCCCAACCCTCAAAACTCTTGCATTTTTTAAAATTCAGGAATGAAGAGAATTCTAAAATGTGAAGGGCTGGGTTGTGTCTTTTGGCCTCAACATGAGGAAGAGCTTCCTGTGTATGCGGCATCCACCCAAAAGTAACCCTGGGAGACCTTGTGACTTGAGTGACAATCCTTTCCTGCCAGTGGGTGGTGGGTGAAGGTCCAGCTGAGAAAGCAAAGCCCCAGACCCGACCCTTCTGCCTGAGGCCACACCCCTTCCACAAATTCTCCCCCTGTGGAACAAAGCCTGGTGCCCACCCAGGGTTACTCCCCCTAGCCCACACTTAGTGTACCCTGTCCCAGCAGGTGGCATGGCTCACCCTTCCCAGGTGGCCAGAACCCCTGGGGCAGACACGCAGCAGCCTGATCCTTCCTGGCCAGCTGGAGAGCTGGGCAGTTGTGTCATGGCCCCAACCCTCCTGGGCAGCCAGAGAGCTGCACTCCCTTGGTGTATGTCTACACTACAGTGCTAATTCGAACTAACTTAGTTCGAATTAGTTAATTTGAACTAACGCGTCTAGAACTAAAAACTAGTTCGAATTAGCGTTTTGCTAATTCGAACTAGCATGTCCACATTAAGTGGACCCTGAACAGGGCTTAAGGATGGCCGGAAGCAGTGACGGCAGGGCATCAGAGGAGGACTTAGAGCGTGGAGATGCTGTCTCAGGCTAGCCGAGGGCTGCGCTTAAAGGGACCCGACCCCCACCCCGGACAGACAGTTCTCAGGGGTGCCCTGCTTGCAAACCAGTCCTGGCTTGGAGTGCCCGGAGTGCCCACACTCGGCACATCACAGCACTCGGCCATCAGACCGGCTGTACTTGCCGCAGGCTGCCATCTGGGGAGAGGGGGCAATTGGGGGGCTGCAGGAGAGCTTCCAACCCCAGAAGCCCGCAGAGCCAGCCCAGTCCTCCCCATCGGGGGCTCGTGCCCCATTCCTCCCTCACCTCCTTCCACTTACCCTTCCCTAGCCCCCCTTCCTGATGTACAAAATAAAGGACAATTGTGTTCAAAAATGGAATCTGTCTTTATTGAACAAAACTGGGGGAGACTGGGAAAAGGAGGTGGGAGAGGGGAAGAGAGAGGGTGGGAGAGGGGAGGGCAACTAAAATGATCAGGGGTTGGTTACAGGTCCCATATGAAGAGAGGCTAAAGAGACTGGGACTTTTCAGCTTAGAAAAGAGGAGACGGAGGGGGGACAGGATAGAGGTCTCTAAAAGCAGGAGTTGGGTGGAGAGGGTGCATACAGAAAAGTTCTTCATTAGTTCCCATAAAGAAGGACTAGAGAACACCAAAGGAAAGGAATGGGTAGCAGGCTTCAAACTAGTAACAGAAAGTTGTTCTTCACAAAGCAAAGAGTCAACCTGTGGAACTCCTTGCTGCAGGAGGCTGTGAAGGCTAGAACTAGAACAGAGTTTAAAGGGACGTGAGATCAAGTCATGGAGGTTGGGTCCATGGAGTGGTATTAGCCAGGGGGTAGGAGTGGTGTCCCTGCCCAAGGTTTGTGGAAGGCTGGAGAGGGATGGCACGAGACAAATGGCTTGGTCACTGTCTTTGGTCCATCCCCTCCAAGGTCCCTAGGGTTGGCCGCTGTCAGCAGACAGGCTACTGGGCTAGATGGACCTTTGGTCTGACCCAGGACGGCCATTGTAAGCTCAGGGCTCAGGGTTGGGGGTCTCAGTGGACCCCCTTGATTTTCATGCACACCTGCTCCTGGGTGGCCAGGCTGGCAGCTCTCCTGCCCTAGCCGGCCACTTTCCTGTGCCTAGTGCGGAGATCGTGGACGACGTCCACAATGTCCGCACTAGCCCAGGCGGGGGCCCGCCTCTTGCGGTCCCGGGCAAGCTCCCGGGAGCCGCCAGCCTGGTCCCGGGAAGAGGGGGAGTGCTGGGGGGCATCGGGTGTCTGGCTCGAGCCATGCCAGGTGCAGGGTCTGCTGGCTGGGTGCTGGCAGGCTTGCACCTGGCACGGGCACTATAGCCAGCCCGTGCCCCTTTAAGGGGTCTGGGGACAGGAGGAGGGCAATAGAGTTTCCCTGGTGTTGGCCAGAGTGGCCACCAGGGGAACCTGGGGAGGGCTAGCCTCCCACTAGTTCGAATTAAGGGGCTACACAGCCCTTAATTCGAACTAGCTAGTTCGAACTAGGCTTAATCCTCGTAAAATGAGGTTTTCCTAGTTCGAACTAAGCGCTCCGCTAGTTCGAAATAAGTTCGAACTAGCGGAGCGCTAGTGTAGCGCCTATGAAAGTTAGTTCGAACTAATGTCCGTTAGTTCGAACTAACTCTGTAGTGTAGACATACCCTTGCTGTAGCCCCTGCCCTCCTGGGCATAGGGTTGTCAGGTGTCTTGTTTTTGCCTGGGCAGTTTGGTATTTTGGCCTTCTGTCTGGTTAAAAAAACAACAACAGTGAATACCGGACATGTTACATGTCTGGTATTTTTTGTTCTCCTCGGACGGCTGTTTTCATCTGTGGGGGGGAGGGCCGGAGGGGCGGAGGGAGAGCGAAGAGTGTAGTAATTTAAAGGTGCAGCAACCTCTTTTTTTTTTTTCCCTTAATCAATTTTTTCTTGCC